CCAGGGAGAAGACCTTGGCTCTGCCCTAGACATCTCTGTTCACCACCACCTGCTAGACACACAGGCTATCAGCATAGGCAGCAATCAAAATTATTGCTATTATTTGTAAAGGTTTCTAATGTCAGATTAATACATGCAGATACTGATGCCTGTGGCTGTCACCAGCACGCCTGCTTAGAGAGAGAAACCTGCAGCTGCAGACTTGGTGGAAGGTTTTTAATTAAAACCACATTCTGTTTAAGCATTTATTGGGCTCTGTGACTTTAATTATTTTCTAGGGAAAAACAAAAACATCCACATTGGCCTATGGGAAGGCTGTTGATTTCAAAGGGAAAGTAGCAACCTGTGGCAGTTTGCTGGAGGCAACTGGGAGGTATTTCCTGAATGGTTCAAATGAAGCTCGACATTATTAATAATCCAGGATCCAGCCTATGACCTTACTCCCAGTGCTTTCATGAAATTAGCTTAACATTCTGGCAAGGCCATTTATTGCCATCAAAATTAACGACAGCTCTTCCAGTGGCAGCTCATGTAATTATGTGAGTCTGCGCTTGTCTCACTGATGCTGGGGAACTCCTGCCTGGAAGGGGCAACATTCCTGCATGTGAGGGGCAACATGGTTAGCTGTTGCAGCCCAGCCTGGTCAGGACTGGCTCCCTTGGAGGAGGAGAGGCCCTGAGGCAGCCAGCTCCTACAGGGGAGGTCTTATTATGGTAAAGAGGTAGAGTGGGGTGACACAGTGTTGGGGAGGTGGGGATTGTGCATGATGCGTTCATCTGCTAATAATAAAGTTCTCACTTCCAAGGGTAGAAGCTAGTAAGTGGACCATCTCACAAAGCAGGAGGCTTCTGGATTCGTTGATTCGATGGCTTAATGACATTAGCAGTCCCAGATTCACTTTCTCTTCTCTCTCACCCTTAACCCAAGGTGTGGGTCATTGATGCCATTGGAGAGCCCTGGCTTCAGCAGGAGTAGCATACTTACTGTTAATAGGCCAGCGGGATGGATTCACTTTTCTGAAATCATAGCCCCTCTTTGGGTCCTGTTGACACATATTGGCTTAGGACACCCCTTCTTTGACCCAATTGTTGGCCAAAGGGTTTAAACTGACTGGCTTATAGTAATCAGCTAGTCCTGAAATGAATAGCAAGGAGTCTCCCTCAAGATTTTCTACAAGCAAGTTTCCCTCTAAGTAGCAGGATTGGGGGTTGCATGTTCAGAGTTAACAAGATATTGTGAAAAAATGAAATGAGAGTGACTATAATTATAATGAAACAGCTTAGATCTAGGTTCTTATGTGGAGATGAGGCCAGTCTATGTCCACACTCTGTATCCAGGGTCAGGACTCAGGGCAGCATGTGTGGCCAGGTCCAGGGAACTCTTTTTGACGGGCATATAAACCAGAGGATCCTCGCTTTCACAGAATTCTTGAAAGGATAAAAATCTGTTCTTAGAAATGCCTGTGCTGGAATCGAAAGCTATTTTGGGAACAGCAGAAGCTTCAGTCGTTAGTTGAAGATTTATGAACAGGATGTTTATGAACTCAGAGATGTTCCCGAATGGCTTCACACCCCGAGCACAGCACCAGCCCTATGACAGAAGAGAGGCCCTGCACTGCCAGGTGGAAAACAGGAGGAAGAATGTTACTTTGATCTTAGGAAGAATGTGGAGGTAGCATAAAGCAGTGCAGGCCACTCTGGGCTTGGCACTCATGGTCCGAAAACTCCCTCTAACTATAGGCCTGCAGTGTGATCTTGAGCCACTTCTCATTCTCTCTCCTTCTTAGTTTCCATTTTTGCCTTGCTAGAAAATAAACCAGGTGTGCACCAAGGTCCTTCCAGTGTTGCCCTTCTTGAGACCTTGGTTCTGGGGCGTTGTGGCTTTAGGAGCAGACAGTTTGCTGGTTGAGTTGGATTTCAAGAGATGGACTGTATTGGAAAAGTCTTCTTCAAGAAGATGTCCTCTGTGAATCCTGGACCATTGCTTCCTCCCTCCTCATACTCTTGATATTGTCTGTTCTCCCTCCCATTACACTGCAGCCTGCTTCATCTCTTGAGGTTATCTGCACATTTGGACCACCAGGAGCTAACCCCTCCCCACAAATTGCTATGCACCGCTCAATGGGCAGGGAGAGTCCTTCTGCTTTTGAATACTTCCCAAAGGCCCTTCACTCAGGAGGACTCAGGTGGCAGGGTACTATTCCTAATCTGATCACTGGGGCTGGAGACATAGCTCAGTTGGCAGAGTGCTTGCCTTGCATGTGCAAGCCCCTGGGTTCAATCCCCAGCACACACACACACAAAAAAAAAAAAAAAAAAAAAAAGAAAAGAAAAAGAAAGAAAAAGAAAAATCTGATTACTGAATAGTTCAGACACCTGAGATAATGACTGAGCAAGGAAGATCAAGGTCACTGCTCCTTTGTCTGATGTACCCAAGGATGGGAGAGAGGTCACATGAAATGCATACTCAGGGATTCCTGCACCCAGAAGATGCCCCAAGGCAAGTCCTGGAGACTCCTTCTTCTCCATCCCCCAGCCTCAAAGTTCCCAGTGGACTGTTCCAGGCCTTCTCATCTACTGACCCCATCAAAATAGTACAGGGAGGGAGCATGGAAGGATGGAATAAAACTGAATTTCTTCTCAGCTATCTTTTGTCTCTGGCTGTCAATGAACTAATTTCTTTTGGTTTGGGAAATGGTCCCTCAGAAGCAGAACGGAAGCAATGTTTTGTGTGAAAGTAGTCAATTAAGAAAATGCCCAGGTGGAATCCAGTAAGGTATAATTGGATATAAGGAGGCACAATTCAGTGTATAGGGCTCCAGAGCAAGAGAACAGGGGCTGGCAGACTGAACTCAATCTTTTATTGACTTCCTGTCAGATACTGGAAAAATCTCTCTCCCTTCTGGGCCTCAGTTTCCCCTCCTGTGCTGCTGGGCTAAACATCCCTCCTGCCTGCCTCAT